AAAGTGTGGGTTCAGTCATCAAATTTTTCAAATGTTATTTCATGTTTATGAAAAAATGAAAAACGATTTGTACCCCTTTCGATCATATAACTCTTCATTCAAAGTAAAGTTATGTAAAGAGCTACAAGCTCATTATTTTTACCGAGTCCGTCTCGATTTATGTACAGAGCTACAAGCTCACTATCATTTTCACCGAGTCCATCTCGATTTATGTACAGAGCTACAAGCTTACTATCATTTTCACCGAGTCCATCTCGATTTATGTACAGAGCTACATGCTCACTATCATTTTCACCGAGTCGGTCTCGATTTATGTACAGAGTTGCAAGCTCACTATCATTTTTACCGAGTCCGTCTCGAATTATGTAAAGAGCTACAAGCTCATTAATTTTACCGAATTCGTCTCGAATTACGCAAAGAGCTACAAGCTCATCAATTTTACCGAGTCCGTCTCGAATTATGCAAAGAGCTACAAGCTCACCATCGTTTTTACCGAGTCCGTCTCGAATTATGCAAGGAGCTACAAGCTCATTATTTTTACCGAGTCTGTCTCGAATTATGTAAAGAGATACAAGCTCGTCATCATTTTTACGGAGTCCATCTCGGATTGTGTAAAGGGCAACATGCTCATCGTTTTTATAGCTTGTATTAAATTAAAATAAAAGATACAAGCTGGTCATTTTTATCAAGACCTTCTCAAATTAAAGCATTCGAACCAGATCCATCTTACCGTAAGTGCTTTCTTTTTCTTTTATTTTSTTTCGAGAGATGTGAAGCTTGTTATAAAAGAAAGGAGCTTTCCTTAAAAAAAAACAGAAGAAGGAAGTCAAAGAGCCTTCTAGCGCACGTTAAGAATTATGAAAAGGGGCCAGAAAGAAGTATTTGTGCAAATGCATGAAGTGGTTTGGTCCCATATGACGAGCCCAAAGCATTTAGTAATAATTCATTGAGAATGGATATTAAAGAAATACTATAGAGAATTTCGGAACAAAAGATTCTTTTTTTATTAAAAGTTCAAATAGACCAACGAGGGTCATAACAAAAGACATAAAAGTTGAGAATAAACCGAAGAAAGACAAGAGACCTGAAGGTCATAAAAAAAGACATAGATAGTTGGGTATGWGCCCAATAAAGACATGAGACTCGAAGGCCGTCACGAGAGTAGAACATATAATAGCATAAGTTCAAGCATTTTCCTCGGTTCCTAAGACCTCGTTCTCTCGAATTTCGCCTAAGAGAGCTCATGCATTGGTCCCGAATTAATTAAAGGGGAGAGTTGACGAAATGAACTCCACAGCTGTCTCGGGCCCAAGAGTAGAACCGGACACGAGACGCTCCAACAGAGACAGATCAAGAGGTGGAATCCTTACCTCAGCTTCGGAGAGTTTCTCTTCAGCTTCCACCTAAAATAATAAAAAAAATGTTAGGTCACGTAAAACAGAGTATCAAAAGATATGACATGATTGATCGTTACCTGTCTAATGAAACAGACTCGAGTTCAGCTTGAAAGTCCACGATCTCGCCTTTAACGATTTCCTCGAGGAGCTCGTAGTTAGCTTTCGTCTCGGAAGCCATGACAAGAGGCCCGCGTACAGCATCTCTCCCTGCCAAGTGTAACTTYACTTGRCKAAGTATATCTTTGCATRTCGAGRCAATTTTGTTCTTGGCRTCGCGAGCASCGTTCGTCACGTCTAACTCACGGCTATCAAAAAGCAATTTGTATTTGGCTTCGATTTCGCCAAGTTCAGACTTTAACGACTCTTTGTCATTGGTTAGTTCGATCAAAATATTGCTAGCAACAGAAAGTTTCCCCTTATAATCGTCTCGAGAAATCTCAGCTTCTCGTAACTTGAACTCTAAGGCCCTAACCCTAGTGAGACGCTCCTCAGAAAGCTTTACGGCTTCAGCACTCTCTGTTGCTGCAGCACGCAAATTCTCAAGCTCAGCGTTAAGGGCAGTGGTAGCAGCATTTGCCTCTGAAGGATCAACTGGGGGAGGAACACTCTGGAGGCGACGTTCGTATGAGTCAATAGTCCGATTGTAGGCGGAGTTAAGCTACAAACACAAGATTGCTTGTCAGAAATAAAATAACATATATGTTTGTATTTCTCAAAGAACGAAATAAACGGTAAGAAAGGAGCTACCTGTCCAGCGTACGACGCAAAGCTGTGATGATTCTCGATATCTTCTTGAGCTAGCCTGTTGAACGGTGGAAGCCTGCACCCTGGCTTCCTAAAGTGTCTGAATAAATGAGCCGTAGATGTGGCATCCTCTGTGATTAAGTAGTTGGAGTTGAACTCGAAGTCCCAATAATACCGTAGCTTCTTCGCTCCACTCCGGGTTTTAACCCCAGTCTCTGAAATCTTTCTCTTGTTCCGACCTGGTTGATTTACTTCATCAGTATCGCCAATGACCAAAGCGGTCGGGGCAGTTAGTTTCGATGACGATGCGCGAGAGGACCCGGCAGATCGTTTCACATTTGGGTTGCTCGAAGCAGGTATTCCCGAAACCAAGGAAAGCCTAGACCCAGTAGGAGCAGCGACCGCAAGTTGAGCATCGCTGGGTTCAATGGGACATGGAGCACTCGGTGAAACGACCGGATTGAGACCAGCTGCCTCCTTTGTCTTTTGGATTTTTCGTCCAGCGCGATAACCCGTTTCCGACATTATAACAAACGACCCACGGATCCAAATCTGTGAAACGTAAATCAACGACTTTACATAAGATAGATTATTTTCGGCATCGAAATAAGAAAGGAGCAACAACCGCAAAAGTGAAAGTAACATTGAAAGGCAAATAGTCAAAGCAAAGGAGGTAGAAAAAGAGAAACAAGGAAAATATATTGCCTCTTTACGAAGCAAACGTGATGTGCACAAGACAATATAGAGAAGTACCTTTATACAAAGTCTTGGGCGTGGAAAAGCAGATATCGAAAATTAAGATTTAATTATGAAAGGCAATATTTGGAAAGTTCCCGCTATTATCCTCTAAAGCTGAATATTCCGGATGTGATTCAAATCATGAAAATATACAAGCATTTATGTCCAC